TATGCTTTAAAAAATGTTGCAATCACTCTAAATTGTGCTCTAAAAATATAAATTTCGATCTTACGTTAAATTATGCTTTAAAAAATATTGCAAACACTCTAAATTGTGCTCTAAAAATATAAATTTCGATCTTACGTTAAATTATGCTTTAAAAAATATTGCAAACACTCTAAATTGTGCTCTAAAAATATAAATTTCGATCTTACGTTAAATTATGCTTTAAAAAATGTTGCAAACACCCTAATTTTTGCTCTAAAAATATAAATTTCGATCTTACGTTAAATTATCTTTTAAAAATAATTGCAAAGACTCTAAATTATGCTCTAAAAATATAAATTACGCTCCTACATTAGTGTATACATATTATGCTAAAAAAAAAATGTTGCAAACACCCTAATTTTTGCTCTAAAAGTATAAATTACGCTCTCACGTTAAGTTATTCTTCAAAAAATATTGCAAACACTCTAAATTATGCTGTGACAATATTTCCTTTTAAGTATCAGGCTTAATTAATCCTCGCTGAACAAAAAACCGTTGCAAATCGGTGATGGACGATGTGCTCCGACAATTACCCCACTGATCGACGTGAACGCGTCAATCGTTTACGTGTTTCGCAGTTCTGCCCATCGAACGAGACACATTAAGACATTAAGAAATTTAACTCGTGTCCTCGAGTATTTCGATATCCACGGTGGCAACGAGCGCGGAACACCGCAAATTGCTCGTGTTGCAATAGAATTTCTACATGTAAATCGAGAACACCTAGTGGCAATCAATTTACTCGACTAAAAAGGCCAACTTTTACCATCACCAGTTGTAAATCATTTTCCAAACGCAGCCATAACGCGAACGTACAAATGGGTGGAGCTCGTTCGACGTAAAAAATTCCGCCAATCTGGTAATTTAACCGTTAAATTGCTATTTACCGTCGAAGACGCGCTGGTGCGCTGAAATTCTAGTAATTTCACCTGGAGAAATAAAAATTGGAAAAATTTCCTGTGAATTAATAATTGATCGTAAAATATCACAGGATTATCGTCGAATGATTGAAACGGTAACCGTATTACGATCTTACCAGCACAATAATTAAACCTTGATTGATAATCGTTGCTTGTGAAAATTAATTAACATCGCACGCGTGACTGTGTGAAAAATTACCATCTAATAATAATTCTACACGAAAAGTATGCAGCTTGTTTGCGATAAAAGGAAAGCTTAAGATTGAAGAAACAGTAGAATTGGAAATAATTCCAATAGCTGTGTCATATTTTTTAAATTATTTAATTTCATAGAAAGTAGCAAGTGTAATTTGTTGTAGGACAGAAAAGGTATCGAAAGTCCTGAATAATATTGGAATAATACAGAATGAAGGAAAGATGGTGGGCAAAATGTTCCGGGATCCATAATTCATTTTCATCTACGAATTGTCTGCATCTGTAATGAAGCCTGATTCGTTTATTCGCGAGAAACGATCTGAATCATGTGAAACGGGTTCGTTTAGAGGAAAAATGCTCGACCTTTTCTCTTGCAAATTTTACGGCCATTCCGTCCTCATCGGGTGAAGGTCCGTCAGATTCGTTTTGTTCGCTCCGGTTTATTTCCGTTATGGGACAATGGAAAATACGGACTATCTTTGAAAGAAAATTTGAAGAAATTGTGGGTAATATTGCAATAGTAATACGGGAAAAATAAAATTAGTACAGAGTATCTTTGAAAGAAAATTTGGAGAAGTTCTAGCTGAAATGGTGGATAATGTTACAATAGTAATATGAAAAAATATAAAATTAGGATAATAGGTTGTTCGATTAATAACAACACCACGCTTTGTTTCTGCAATATTTATGCAAAATAACTATAATTTAAAATGTCTATACTATTCTGTAAATCTGTGACTAACAGATAACTAACTTACCAACAATTTTCCATATAAATTACACTCAAGACCATTTATTTTTCACAAAAAATTGTCAACTTTATCAAAAAGTTGCAACAGCTTTGATGTTATTTACTACCACGCTACGTTACACCTAATCTCACAATATTTCTATTTCAATATTTCACACTCTCGTTAATTCACAAAAAGACAGAAACGTATAATAGACTGAGACTTGCGGCCATTTTCACCTCGACTCTTCAATTGACACGGATGTTTTCGAAGAAACGCGTATACCTACGCTCATAAAACTAATAATTAATCATCCACGGAGAATATCGACGCTTTCATCGAACAACGGGACCACAAAGGCTCGCGGGATGATTGAGTTGCACCGTGTGAAGAGAAAGGAATCTCGTAACCCGAGTTCCGTGTTGGCAGATGTGAATGCAAATTTTCGACGATTCGAGACCGGAGGCCAATGGGACGCGGGGCTCGCTTGCATTCATGAATTTTGTTTTCGTATGGAATCGTCACGTCGGCTACTGCCGTGTAATTCTCGGGACTAACCGTGTTTGTGCACCTCGTTAATAAACGGAGGCTCGTCGCCTTGAGACGGGTTCAAAGTTACACCTACACGCACAGTGTCTCGATATTCTCGTCGATAATTCCGTACAGTTGCCAGGATTTGCCGACGTTTATCGTCAAATTATTGAAATAGAACGCGATCTGCAACCATCACCGTTGATCAGAGAAAAAAAAGTTGGACCGTTGGAATTTCTTATCATTTCAATTTCCCCAACTTGTCTCGTCTGTTACTGTTTGCTGGTAACAGCGTTACAGCTGGAAAATTTTTTGGCTAATAAAATTCTGTATCTCCGATAAAATCGCTAGAGATGCTGTAACTTTAAAGTATATGAAATTTCTTTTCGCATACTAACATTTATTCTTCTGTAATACGACACCTGTATTCAGCGTCGAGATGAGTTTAACGACCCGCAACAGCGTGACCTTGAAATGACCTTGAACAAGGTGAAAATACCGAAAGGAGTGAGAACAAAGCACGTTGAAATTCGAAAGGAATTATTACGTTGAATATTCCTACATTAAACAGCAGCAGAAATAATTTCGATGCTCGTTGTAAACGACACACCCTGTACATTAAAATTCCACAGTAACGAGGTGTATCGTAGGGTACATTAGCCGACTGACGATTTTCTTGTTTCAGATTTTACTCGATAGTATCTTTCTGAACTCAAGCTATTAATAAAAGTCCCTCGAATCTCAATACCAAATTTATATCGAACGTGTGCTTCACTTGCTACATGCAAATCAGAATTTTCCTCCCAGAATCGCGTTTAATATTAAAATTCATATCCTATGACTCACGCTCCCTGATTCATAGAATTGCGTATCGCAGCTGGGAAATCCGAGGGACTTTCGAAACTGTCGAGTACGAAATGTTTCAAATCCAGAAGGAAGAAAGAGAGAGAGAGAGGGAGAAATGGCAACAAAGACGAGTGGAAAACAGAAAATTTCAGTTTCCTAACGATCGTTGGCAAATCACACCGGCTCGATTTCTATTTCAATTCCACTCGAGTTACCCGAAAACGCTTCCTGCAGCGCGAAGCCTCGTTTTGAAACAGTTTCGACGGGCGATTCGAGCGAAGACGCGCGAAACAGCGGTCGAATTTCTCGGTGACTTCGACGCATGGGAAAGGGAGCTCGCCGCGCGCACAACCACTTTTACATAATCGACGCACGGCCCCTCACGCACTTTCCGTTCAAAACGCGAATTATTCGAGAATTATGTGCTATCTGTCGTGATAATCTCTCACGGTTACGCAAACCACGCGACTTTTCAATTGTACGTGCACGGAAAATGTAAGAACTGCTTCGATTTCGACGTGGCCTCTTAGGTAAAACTTATTATGGAACGAGTGAAATAATTGAAATGATGGTAAATGGGGCTTGGGGCTGTGTTTTGTTTTTGTTTCTTTCAATTGGAAATGGAGAAGTGATTAATAATTAAAATGATAGAAAAAGGGGCTCAGAGCTGTGTTCTGTCTTCTTTCGTTTTTTCAATTTGAAATAACGAAGTGACTAATGGATGTGTGTGGAGTTTTTGCTTCAGTTCTGTGAAACGATTGTAATTTGCAGTTTTAAGAAGGCCGACATAAATTTGAATATCAAAGCTTAGTGCTGGAAGAGTAAAAAATTGTCTGCGAGCATTCGTTCGATCGGAAAATATCTAAAAATCATTCTATCCAAGATCGACAGTGATTTTATTTATCTTCGTGATTTTTCAAGTGGAAGTCGTTAAAGGACAATTTCAATTTTTAAGAAAAAGCAGTCACCTTAATTTTCTACCCATTGCAATTCTGAAATTGAAGAGTTCGTTAAAAGAAGGCAGTTTTTGGACAATTCTAGAAAGCAAAATTCCTCGAAAGGAAAATTCAGCGGCTGATTTGAAAACAATTTCTAAAAAGTGCCAAGAAAGAGCGTTTTCAGAAATATGTTAAATTTACAAGGAACTATTTCGAGGAGAAGAATTTCAATTTAGAACAACGTCTTATCGACAAATTCCAAATACTGTTTTATCAGCATAATATCAACCGGCAAAACGCTCAAAGCTCCATCTCGACACTCTGAAACCCAAGTAAACTCTCCCATTAACCAAAACCATTAAGTCACCGTCAAGTCGAAAACTTCACATTCCTCCGCTAATCGCCAGTCCGCGCCTCCACCGTTCCCCCGTAAACCGAAAAACAACCAAAATATCACCATCTTCCTCTGTCTCAACTGGTTTCGAAGAGCCTTCGTCCAGGTTGAGTAACATCGCTGAAACCTCTTCGAAGAATTCCAGCACTAACTTTGCCAGCGACCGAAGAAGAAGTTGCTCCTACGAGAAAAAACAAGGATCCTGTGATTCTCCAAGCTCCTCGTCGAGTCGAAGCGAAGGATGGCGCCTCGTCCTCTGGAAAAATCTTCAGCTTGTATTTAGAATAGCCGGGGTCTCTGTTTTCCCCCACCGTGCAAACTGGTCTGGCCATTCTCGCGGCTGGCGAACACTGGCATCGACGAGTTGCACAAGCATCTGATTCTCCATCCTGCAGCGAACCACCGAGTCAGTTAGTCAGTCAGTCAGTCGTCAGTGGCACCGCGAATAAGCCACTCTCGCTCATCCGCGGGAGAACACCTGTTTCGTCCTCGACCCTTTAGCCCGTCTGTCGACGATTCGACGATTCTTCGACCACGGTGGAAGGGATTCCTCGAGTGGAAGCTGTGCGTGAGGCCGCGTTAGACGAGTCCTTGCAGCTCCGTGAAGAAAGAGACGCTGCTGGCTAACTCTGGAGCGGAGAACCAGTTTCCGGGAGCGCCGTTGATACGCGAACAAGCGAAATAGCGAACCAGTATCTATAGGGAGAAGACGAGCTAGTTCGATTTGATTTTGAGATACTTGAAGTGGACGAAAGGGTTGTTGTAAAACAGTGGTGACATTTCGTTTATGATTATGACGTCGTTAATGGTGAACGGTCGAACCGCGCGATGTAATTGATTTTTAACGATCGATTGGGTGTTTGTTGCTCGTTGCTGAGGAAGCTGGTGTTCATTGTCGTTGGAGAACTCGTGACACAGGTTAGTGGATGCGTGCTTCGATCTAGGTGATAAAGAAGTGAAAGGGGAGAGAGAGAGGAAGGTGATTCGATTTCGTAGATGTTGGAGAGTTGTTCAGAGAGAAGTTTTATTCGATGTTCTTTGGAGTTATTTTGGAGAATGGAAATTGATCATTTTGAGGAATGAAAATTTCTTGTTTCGGAGAATGAAAATGTATTTTGAGGAATGAAAGTTTCTTCTGCAGAATAATGGAAGAAATGGGAGAATCGACGATTACTTAAAAACACTTGATAGATGTGGAATGTTAATTGCTATAAATTCAGTAATTTAATTCGAACTTTGTTGACATTGAAAATTTGCCAATTTGTGGTCGAAATATCTTCCAAATATTTGCAAATTTTGAAGAAGGAATTTAGTAAACTCACTGATCTCTAATTGACAATCTTCCACGGCGAGATTTTCATTGCAATTTTTCTGTTGGTTCGTGAAAGAAATTTTTATTCAAGGGAAACCGAGACCGCTGAAGCAGTTGTTTACAGTCTTACCTGTTCGACGCAACGTGTGACGTGGTATGACGGAAAAAGTGGAAATTTCCTGAAACATTGGTTGGAAAAAGTCTACATTCATGTGTGACGCAAGCTCGAAACCTTTGTTTTGGAGCATATGCCTGAATTCGCATTTCTGCTGGTGCATTGCACCAGAGAATACTCCGTTGCGTAATTTGTTACCCTCCAGTGTGTACAAAGTGAATGATTAATGAAAACATGTAGTCAAATTTAATCGCTGTTACTTAATACCTTCAACGTAATTCTAACATTCCAGGTATATGCATACCTGTATCCAAGAAAGTTTTTGCCTTGGAATGGAAAAATTCGCAAGAATAGTTTGAAATTAATTGGAAAAAAAAAATGAACGATAGTTTTATAGTCGTTCGAAGCAACTAAATCTTCTCGATTGCAACCTAATGCAATTTAACTGACTCTCATTTTACAATTTTTATATTTATAAAATGTGTAAAAATTAAAATTAAACGGAATCGAGGGATAGTAAAATTGATACAATTTGTTTTGACATCATTCGTGTGAAACAAAAGTATCAATTCAAACTATTTTTCAAGAATCTTCCTTATTATTACGAATACAATGCAGCCAGAGGAAAGTGTTAACGTCGTTAACTTTAGTTGCGGTTGATTTAATAGAATATTTATCATCATTATCATAAAAACAACGATACACGTTAATTTCCTCCTAATTAATATGCACTCTGAATAAAATATCGAATTTTCCAAAGGAAATATTCAATCCCGAAAAAACGTAAAATACGAATCCATACTGTGACCAAAAAGTTTAAGTTTAAATTACAATTTAAGTTTTTCCCTCCGTTTCTTATCGAAATTCTTTTAAGAAGTCTCGCAATAACATTTCACTGGACTGTTACAACAAAATTTCAGGCAATCGCTATACTCGATCGGTCTGCTCTTTATTTCGTTCGAATGTCTGCTCTTTATTCAGGACTTTTTCCTTCGTAAGAGGTATCGCTGATGTAATTTAAAAACACAGCGCTGGTAATTGGAAAAATATGATGAAATTTCAAAGGAAAATAATCTTTCACAACTCTTTCGATACATCTCAGCTTTCACGGTGGCTTGGCAATTTAAATCGCGAGCGGTCGCGCTTTAATTATCTCCTCGCCAGGCAAATTTCTGTAAAGTATAGCTGTGTTAGACAATGTAACACGAGATACCGGATAAGTAAATTCAATTTCGTAGTATAATGATCGTGAATTTGAATAAAAATCGCGTTACGCGCATATCTTACGGCTGATATACTAATCACAATTCTGCTCTTTCGAGCGATTAAATTAGCGAATAATATGGATCTTTCGGAAACGTAATAGAAACAGAATGGTGTTCATGGTCGTTTCGAACGAATCGCGATTCCTTGTCTTCGTAGAGATTGGAAAGATCGTCGAGTCGATTGTTGAATGAAACATTGATGGAAGTTGGTTTTGGTCGCGACAGATAAGCGTGACTCGCGGAATATCTGAAAAAGGGAATCCGTGGGTGTTTCGTTAGTGTGAAACTTTCTCGATAACGTAATCGCGATAAAAATCGCTAACGTTACGAATATTTAACCCATTCTGAATATCAGTTTGGAAGAAACTATTTCCATTTTGTTCCATGAAGAATTCTCTGGCATTCGTGACGCGCAGAAACCTCGAAGGACAAAAATTTTCCATAGACACTTAATGGCACGATTGCGAAAAAATTACCATTTTCTGAATGGGATGGGACCGAAAATTTTTTAACGTAAGTCACGACGATTGTTCGCGACATGGGGAAACAGTGTGAAAACAAAAATTGCAATGCGACAAATTAATTTTCGATTGGCAATTTTCGGAAAAGTAATTATTCGAGAAGAAAAATTTGAGAAATTGTATTTGAAACGGTTTACAATAGCAATATTCTCGTTCGTGTGCTTTATCGATACTTTAATTTCCCATTTAGACAAACTTTTCTCTTTTCGTTACTTTATTTTTATCTATTATACATTTCTATCTATTCTAGTTGCGTAATTTTCTGTCGACATTGATCCATAAAATATAAATGAAGATAGAAGAATCGAATAAACAAACGGATCCACAAAATAAAAGTAAAATACATAATTATCAAAAAATAAGGCACTGAGATATAAACACTTGTTGCATCGATTTTGTGCAAATGAAATGTTGTCAAATTCTGCAGAAAACAGAGATTTCCATTTTTCATATTCATCTTGAACGAATAATATAGTTGCAAACTAACTTATTTCACGCTCGGTTAACCCAAGGCTGAAGAAACTCCGGTTTGCATTTCCCTGAACTAAAGGATAATCATTTGAATTCGCGTATATCATTGACGATCACGCCGCGTAAGAAGATCACCTCGCGACCTGATTTCCTCGATATCATACTCGGAATATCTCGGATTTCCTCCCATCATTATAATTCTTACGTCGATCCGTCGAGTTCTTGGAACGTTTCAGATCATTTACGTGAATCGTCCATGCACTCGGCGCAACTTCCTACTGTTCGTCGTTAATCCTCGAGGAATTAACAATTTTTCAACAACAAACGTGCACGAGAAGAGCGATATATCGAAATAACGATTACCAGAGATAATTATCAACGATTGTCATTTCTTGTTTGAATAATATGGAGAAAAATGTTGTGGAATCATTGTTATCGTATCCCAAGTACCTACTTACGATGTATCCATAAATACGAATTCTTTTTTCTTTTTAATTGCGTCGCGTTTCTTTTTTGTTTGAAAACTGACCATCGTGAAAGATTTTACAAGGTCTGCGTAACCTCAGGAAACGTTTTGCTCGTGTTGGCGGGCAATTCAAGGATATCCGGATTGAAGCTGCTGCTCGGAGCTTGTGAAAGCTGTAAACGGTCTATGTTGCAACCATTTTCGAAAGTTCGGCAGAATTTTATTCTTTCTCGTTCCTGGAACGAGAGGAGTAAACGGGGAATTATTCGAAAAATTCTTTCGATCCTGGCGAAACATCGTAAAATTGCTTCCTTTTTTGTTTTTAATTTCGTAATGCTTGAGTGGCTTTGTTTTACATATTTTTTTTTTACTGAGAACGCGATTAAGCGGAAATATCGTTTACATTATTATTCTGACAGAGAAATGTAGTCGATAGTGGTAAAAAATTTGACAAAAGTGCAATTCTTCTGAGTATAAATATTTTAGGTTATCCTTGAAAGGGGAAATAATTAAAAATAAAAAACATCTGAAATGTTACAATACATTTTGTAGTACAATTTCTTTTGCTCGTTTCATTAATTTAAAAATGGCATCTACAAATCTACCTTTTCACCTTTTTAACAGACAACGAATGAAAATTTTCGTGTAATCAATATTTTCGAGTCTGATCAAATATTTCACCGCGTTCCACGATGATTTCTCCCGGTAACTTTGTTTCTTTCCTAGCTACTGATTACGAAAGATGAGCCTAACTAAGGTCACGCCTAATCACTTTCCATTTCTTTGGACTTTCGCGTGGATGACTCGTGTCCTTTTCAATGAACTTGCACGTCAGCCTCCACATCTCAAGGAAACCAAGAATATTCCCGTAATTCGTAACATTAGCATTCGTAATTCTCTGTATTTTCACCTGTGACTAACGAAATCTGATTTCTGCAAATTATTCTGCATTCAGAAGAAAAGAATTTCGCAATTTGTTCAAATATTTAACAATTATGTAATTAGAAAGAAAGTTCATTACGATAACTCTTTTTCAATCATTCAGAGAAGTGAATTATAGGGAGATAAAATATACCGTGTGTTTGTTAAAACCTACTGACCATTTTATATAAACCGTAATTATATAAGCGACTGTTAAAATATCACCGAAGCGTTCGTAGAAATTTCCTAACGAGCAACTTTGCAAAAATTATTGCGCACTGTACACACGTGTACAGATACGCCTATTAAGCCTTAATGAATATTTCATTAAAAGAAAAACATCGCTGGTTTCACAAAAAAAACGCATGATTCGTGAGATTATTCCGTCGTCAAACAAAGATGTCACATGAATATACATAAATCGATGCTGCAAATGTCAAATCCAGGCTTCAGATCCAATCTCGTTGCGTCGATCAGAATGAAAACTTCTTACAAAAATAAAGTATCGAAGAGTGTTTATATGAATGAAATTCATTTTACGGAACGAATTTCTTATCGATAAAATGTCAGAGTACTGAAATCGAGGTGAATTGCGTTATCCTTGTTAATTTATGACGTTTTAACGAGGTCAGATTGAACGATTTCTTCCTGCCAATCTTCCAAGCGAAAAAACGATAATCTGGTGAAATTTGTATAATCGGAATTTGGATCATGTAGAAGATAGCGATATTTAAAGAATTCTAAAATTTTTTGTGCGATTCTGCTGATAAATCGAATGAAACGGTTGACGAATATTCCAGAATCGAGTTTTTTTATCGAGTTTTGTTCAGATTTTTCTTTGCTATAAATAATCAGAAGTTTGAGTAAATCTTTGCTACTCGATTAGAGCCTTCCTTGCGACCGTAAGTAAGTAAATAAATAAATGAAATTAATACAACGTCTAACGAAATAAAGCAGGTATACTCTTCGCGTACCATGGATCGTTTCAAAAGTATGGCGCGTCCCTGAAAAAGTCCATTCGTCTGGACCACGGCCGGTTCTCAGAGACAAAAATTGCGCAACAAGGTCGAGTGTCTTTTTGGAAAAGAAAGAGGGATAAAAGTTAGAAGCCGGTGGAAAGGGAGAGTGTATAGGGTGTCTCGTACAAATTGGCAGAGAGATTATTTAATATCGTTAGAACTGGGAGAAATTTCTTGAAAACTGTTGGAGATAAAAAAATTTGCACTACTTTTTGCATTTCTGTGTATTGATACTGTAAGGTAAAAACGGTCAGGATAACGGTGGTGAGCGGTGGAATAAAATATAAACGTGGGCGGTTAAACAGGGTGAATCCTTGTATTTTGAACTATACTGCACGAGTGCTGATACAATTCTGTCCTTCCTGAAAAAACCTAGTCAAGAGGACCCCCTTGACAATATGGCCTTTCTTAGCCTTGAGGCAAAACTATCCCTAGGAGGAGGAAACGCAGCAGAAGACTGCACATGGCCCACTCAAGCCTTCGCTTTTTGGACTTTTCTAACAATACGGTTGCAAAGTTTTGTAAATGAAGTTTCGCATAAATAGATTCCTTGGGATACTGTGAGTATAGAAATATTAGAGTTAGGTCGTAGTGCAATAAATAATTCGCGAGATGTTTCAACTTTCTCAAAACATACCAATCTGTTATTTTTGCAAAATATTTATAAAAGCACCATTCAAATTTCTACAAAGTTTTTATAAAATTGCCATTGAAATGTTCACAATTGTAAAACCGTCACATCAATTCAAAACAGCCCCATTTCTCCCATCTCGTCAACGGTTCGGGGCTTCGAATTTGAAACAGTGCAAACAGAAAATAACTTGGACACAAGAAATACGCAATAAAAAATTGTATAGTTCCATTAAAAAAAAAAAAAAAAGAGAAAAAGAGTACAACTGGTACTTTGTGACCACATCTACGCAAAAAAGAAAAAAAAAATGAAATAACAGTGCATAAATACGATACAGTTCAATTTAGAAAAAAACAGAGCAGTCGCACTTTGACACCCTGTATACGAGCCCACTGAAACGCTCGAGGACAAATCCGAATAGCGCGATCGGTGAAGGAAAGCTGATTGCACGTGCTCGAAACTGTTTCTCCGCGGCTAGCTGGACCAGCTGGTGATAGGTGAGAGTGAGTTTGTTACAAAACGTTACGTCACAGACGAATTACACGTGACACACTGTGGGGTTACGTATAAACGGGTCCACCGTTGCCTCCGTCTTTCGTGACCGTCATTCTACGCGTGATTTTTCGGTGGAATTGTTGGACGTCTCTCCTTCAACCGTGACTCACCACTTTTGTGCGTACCAGACGCCTAAAACGTCAGTCGACGAGCATTTAATTTCTTTGCATTTACTTCGAACAGTTTTCAAGTACTGCATCGTTTATTAGAAACATGGCAAGAAAGAGGCAAAAAGAGCTATTACTGTGCTTGTAAAAAAATTGTTGGACAGAATGAATATTCAATTGTAAAATCGAATAGCGTACCTGCAGACATACCACGTGGATCTTTTTTTGGTTCTTTGTTATGTAACGATGCGGGATTGTCAGTGGCACGAATGAATCTGAAAATTAATTTACACTGGGAATTTTGCATCAAACTCGAATTTCCTTGAAAGTCGCAGTTCTTGATAATTGATATCATAGAATACAGTAAAACGTGTAATTCTTTTGGGATATTAGTATGCGAAACGTTAACGCTGAGTCTAAAAATTAATCTGCACTCGAAATTTCGAATTTCCTCGAAAGTCTCGATTTTTAATAATCTATACCATAAAATATAGTAAAAAGTATAACTCTTTTGGGATATTAATATGCAAAACGTTAACTTTGAATCTTAACATTAATTTACGCTAAAAATTCCTAATTTCCCAGTCTCAATTTTCAAAAAATTTCCACCAGAAAATTCAGTAAAAAGAAGCGCAATTTTTCCAAACTCGGCTCTCCTCGGATCACTTTCATCTAATCACTGGAAGTATTTATATTCTTCCGTAGTGAAGCCAGTGATCGGAGTATGCGCACGTCAAATGCTCCATTGATTATGAATCACTTTCACGGAAATGCTAATTATTGCTTTTTCTCTCGTAGAAATGGAGGCTGCCAGTCCACCGTCGGATGTACGGACAGCTTCCTTGGAACTGAAAACGCGAAGAGCGCAGTTCAAAACGCAGGCCTCCACTTTGGACACGAGGAGGAGGCAGGCGGTATGCGTGAGGAGAGCTTTCAAGAAGTACGGTCCCAAGAGCAATCCTAATGTCATCCTCGATGGGCTGAACATGACCGTGCCGAAAGGCACGATGTAAGTTCTGCTAATTCGTATGAATATTCGTTTACTTTTTTGCATGCTTAAATAAGTACTCAAGGTGTGACAATAAAGTTTGCAGAATAATTTTCATATGTTTTTTTGCTGCTTCTCAGACGATGATCTCACGTATATGTAATATTCAAAGTCAGGTTTTCAAATAAATTATTTTCGAAACTCCAGCAATAATGAAATTGTGAAATGTGCAATTGTAACTAGTAATTGTATTTTTTAATTTGGATTTTATTATTCAATTTTTAATTTCAATTTCAAGTTTGTTATTTCATTTTAATATCAAAGACTTCTCTATATAAACGAGAAAATTAAGGAGGCACTATTTAGGGCAAAATTATATTCGTTAAATTTTAAACAATTTTTGTCCTCTTTTCCTATGCAAAGTTTGACAAAAAGTACGACTACAAAATGGAGCAATTGTTAGTTACATGAAAGATAGTGATGATTGAAGTAAAACAGGAAGATAGTCTGTAAAAAAAGAAGATTGAACAACTTAACTTTTTATGGAAACTTCGTATGGAGCGGTTTTTACCTGTTTTTTGTGTTTGCTTCAATAAGTGACTGATAATCCTGTCGCTAATAACGATCTCAGGCTGAAATTGATCTCCGCTCAAATTTACAAACAACATTTCCATAAAACTAAAGATGATTTAATCGCGCAGAAACGAATTTAACTACTCGCAGACATTTTCTTAAATTCGCAGAAATTGTTCACCATCTCTAACTCGTTAAATCACAAGAGTGTGTCGGTAAAAACGCTCGCACGTTTAACCACAAAAAAAAAAAAAAAATTGCAAAAAGTTTCCATATTCGGTATAATCTTCCAAGCCGCGTCCGTCGAACAGCATTTTTCACGTTACACATGGGAAACGGAAATAATCGACAGGTTTAGCCACATAAATAGCGTTGCTGTGAAGGAAAATGCAAAATGGATCCCTGTTATTCACCGTTTCCCTTCCTCCTTTTTTCTCTCGCTGGTCGATCGACAAACATTACACGCGCGATTATGCAAAGATCGCCAGCGAAATCGCACATCTTCGTCGCGATGCTCGTTGATCTTTCTCACCTGGAGGCTGACCCTCGACGTCACACCACTTTTCTTCAAACAAAAGACAAAGTCCAGGTGTAAAATGCATCACGTTTCCTCAGGTGCATGTTGATTAATGATACTATGTACTGCCACAGGCGGTCAGCTGTTCGCGCAAAACAAACGGTTTCTTCTTTTTCTCCATGATTTATTCAAAACATCCGCCTTTAGAACGATCGCTGAAAAGCGAATATCGCGAGTACTGTGTTCCGCGATTTATCTCTGTAAAATTTACATGGCTGACGGTTCGTAACGAAGCGATCTTTTTCTGCGGATTCTGCTAATTAAACGACTTTATTGCGTGTTTCTTAAAGGACGATTTAAAGGATTTGGAATAGTTAGTGACAAGTATGTTCGATTCGAAATTGGTTAACGATTAGGGATGCGATAAGAGGAACGGTGATGTAGTGTCTTGTTGATGATTTAGAGAGATGTTAAACGTGAATAGTAATAATAATTAGCGATTATTATTGCAGTGTTGTAAGTTTTTCTTTAATATCTTGTAACTTACGAGAATGTAATTTTTTTAATTCTACTCTGTTGATATTTATTTAAGGAGAGTCAGAAATATATTTAGATAAAACGATCACTGTGTATATTGTCCTTGGTAATTTTTTAAGCTCAAAATGAGACGTGAATTAAAATGAGATATAAATAAAATGACACGATTTATTTAAATCAGATAAACAAAAATTTTGCATACGGTTGTATGGACAGAATGTTTTTCCTCCAAATAGTTGCATATTTTTCAACTTCTTTTTGCAGGGGAATTACAATGCCTCGTTCGACGAAAATTTTTTAACGTAGAGAAAATGCTAAATCTATTGTCTTCTCACAATTAATTTCAATTACACGATTATACGGTGTAAAATAGTAACATACGTAAGAAATGTATTTTTCTCGCTTTAGATACGGCCTACTAGGCGCGAGTGGTTGCGGAAAGACCACATTGCTCTCTTGCATCGTAGGTAGAAGACGTTTGAATTCCGGTGAGATATGGGTGTTGGGTGGTAGACCAGGTTCAAAAGGATCAGGCGTGCCTGGTCCACGAGTGGGTTACATGCCGCAGGAAATTGCGTTATACGGAGAATTCTCCATAAGGGAGACTTTCATCTACTTCGGTTGGTGCGCTGGTTTGACCACGGAACAAGTCAACGAGAAGATCGATTTCCTTCTAAAGGCAAGTCTGAATCGTGACGATCGAACTAATTTTGAAATGAGTCTAAAGTACCGTTTGGAATATTTATTTGAAAGGGAGAATTGAAGGGTTCCTAAGCACAACGTCGTAATTGCCAAAAAGTACCATTTTTGGGAGAACGTTGAAATTCGTGACAAAAGGCATCGAATTAGTTTTTCACCTAATATCATTATCACTACTCTTAATTCCTCAGTGACTCTAAATTTCTGACTGACACTCTGTATCTTACGATTAATTTTTCGACTAATATCACTATCACAATTCATAACTCCCAAGTGACCCTAAATTTCTGACTGACACTCTCTGTCTTACAATTAATTTTTCGCCTAATATCACTATCAATTATCTTAACTCTCCAGTGACTCAAATTTTTGACTGACTCTCAATCATACAATTAATTTTTCGCCTAATATCGCTTTCGCGACTCTTAACCACCCAGTGACCCTAAATTTTTGACCGACACTCTCTGTCTTACAATTAATTTTTCGACTAATATCACTATCACAATTCTTAACTCCCAAGTGACCCTAAATTTCTGACTGACACTCTCTGTCTTACAATTAATTTTTCGACTAATATCACTATCACAATTCTTAACTCCCAAGTAACCCTAAATTTTAACTTACACTCTCTATCTTACGATTAATTTTTCGACTAATATCACCATCACAGATATCACTGTCACAACTCATAACTACCTAGTGACCCTAAATTTTAACTTACACTCTCTATCTTACGATTAATTTTTCGACTAATATCACCATCACAATTCTTAACTCCCAAGTGACCCTAAATTTCTGACTGACACTCTGTATCTTACGATTAATTTTTCGACTAATATCACTATCACAATTCTTAACTCCCAAGTGACCCTAAATTTCTGACTGACACTCTGTATCTTACGATTAATTTTTCGACTAATATCACTATCACAATTCTTAACTCCCAAGTGACCCTAAATTTCTGACTGACACTCTCTGTCTTACAATTAATTTTTCGCCTAATATCACTATCAATTATCTTAACTCTCCAGTGACTCAAATTTTTGACTGACTCTCAATCATACAATTAATTTTTCGCCTAATATCGCTTTCGCAACTCTTAACCACCCAGTGACCCTAAATTTTTGACCGACACTCTATCTTGCAACCGATCTTTCAAATATAAAACAAAATGCTTCATACGAGTTTTTTCGAAACAGTTCTTGCAGCTGCCATCAGAAAATCGTTTCGTGAAGAATTTATCCGGTGGCCAACAAAGAAGAGTGTCCTTCGCTGCAGCTCTCCTACCTGATCCAGAATTACTGATCCTAGACGAACCCACCGTAGGCGTAGATCCTCTTCTACGTCAGAATATCTGGGACCATTTGGTCCATATAACGAAGGATGGTAATAGAACCATCATCATCACCACCCACTACATCGAGGAAACGAGGCAGGCTAGCCTAATTGGTTTGATGAGGGGTGGTAGATTGCTTGCTGAAGAATCGCCGACGAAATTAATGGAGATGCACAACGTGGATACTCTAGAGGATGTATTTTTGAAACTGAGTAAACGTCAGAATATGGGCCTTCGAAGAAGGAGCAGCATACTCAGCAGCGTTACTGGTGTTCCTCCTGAAATAGTAGTATGTTGTTTTTATATTTCGTCCATGTTCAGCCAAAAGTCGTTAACTGCATTTTTGACTGAATATTAATTAAGTAGTTTATGTTGCTTGAAATGACATAAATGATCTAGCAAAATGTCATTATCTTTACCAAATGGGGTAAATATGTGAAATAGAATTTAGTAGAGTAATTTTGTTGAGCGGCAAAAAGTTATTGATCAGAGAGAGTCACCAAGTGTAAATCGCTGATTTTTATGAAAATTATGTATAATGTCATTTAAAAAGAAAAATATTTGATACGTATTGTTTTGTTATTTTTACGTGACGAAATCCACGTTGAAAGGGTTAAAACAATCCTCGAAGATGGGAGCATATTTCAGAAACTATTGGGGTTAGAAAAATGGTTCAAATGTGGAGATTGCTTTCCAGGGGCAATATTTCAGATCAGTAAAATTTATAACGAATAAACTCGTAATGAATTTCTTATCCTGCGCTCATCGCTAATTTTTCGAAATCCTTTGGAGGCTTTTCACCTAAAAATTTTGTCAATTTTTTCTTAAATTTTTATTCGAAAATCGTGCAGTTGAAGTTTTTTTAAAATTTGCATGTGTTTTTTAGGACGCCGACGACGAAATGAGCGGCGAATTCGGCGATAATGTCAGTCTATCTAGTCGAAGGAAAAGCGTTGCCATCGACGATGAAAATGTAATTTTTTATTTTGCGATTTGCGGTGGTTGTATTCCTTCTATGTTTCTTACGGAATTTGACATTTCTTATGGAATATTTGAACGGATATAGGTTCCAGAATTGCCACCGGAAGAGGAAGGTCCATCGAAATCGAAGATTATCAACTCTATGCACATGAAGGCTCTTGTATGGAAAAACTTCCTGTGGATGTGGCGAAATGTAGGGTAAGCATAAATGAAAATGATTAGAAAATTAACACTGCCAGAAATCACGTTCCTAACGTTGAAATTAATTGAAATTTCATTTATTCGTTATCTGGTGTCAATTTCTTTGATATCTGACTATAGAGGGTTGACAAAATTAGAAAATCCGAACACAGAGAGAACAGAAAATTCTAACAAGATTTCCTCATATTCATTTCAGCATAATGTTATTTATCATCGGTCTTCCAGTCGTTCAGATCATCCTATTCTGCATCTCCATTGGCAAAGATCCAGTAGGATTGAGGGTATCTCTGGTGAACCACGAATTGAACAACAGCATGGAAACTTGCGTACCATCGGTTGGCTGTGAATGGACTCACCTGAGTTGTCGATTTTTGCAACAATTGGAGAAGAGATCGGTGGTGCTTCTACCGTATGACAAAGAGAGCGACGCTAGAAACGCTGTCGAACGGGGTTGGGCTTGGGCAGCCATAACGTTTCCTGCGAATTATAGCGACTCTCTTTCAGAGAGAATAGAAAACGGCAGGGATGTTGATGACTGGAATATAGATTACTCTACTATGGATATCTCCATGGACATGTCTAGTGAGTTATAAAAAGATCTCTAGAAAAAAAAGAAAGAGGAACTTGTTCTTCTTGTTCTTATTTTTTTAGATCAGCAAATTGGTCAACTTCTTCAGAGAGCCTTTTACAGTTCGTACCTGGATTTCGCTCGAGAACTAACGGTGGCTTGCAATTACAGTAAAAAATTAACAAGTATACCGCTAAATGTGAGTTAAAAAATATAAAAAATATCAAAGGGTATGGTAGAAATCTGTAATAATGAGTAACTTTTAATTCGTAGTTTGAGAAACCAATCTATGGCCCCTTGGATCCTAACTTCACCGATTTCGCTGCACCTGGTGTCATTTTAACGTGAGTATTTATATTGAAAGATTCTCAATTTAATATTGTCTTTAATTTCATATTTTGAAATTTGCGTTGCAGCATTATCTACTTCTTGTCGGTGGCCCTAACTTCCGGCGCGATGTTGTTGGAACGAAACGAGGGTCTTCTCGAGAGAAGTTTAGTCTCTGGTAAATAAAAGAAGCTATGGTGAATAGGAACAATTAATTACAACATTTTAAAAATTATTTTTCTACCGACAGGTCTCACTGGATCGGAAATTCTTTTTGCACAAGTTATAACCCAATTCGTAGTAATGGTAGGCCAGACAATTATGGTTCTGATATTCTCATTCCCGGTGTTTAAACTCACTTGTGAAGGAGATATCGCTTGGATCACTATATTGACAGTTCTTACTGGACTGTGTGGAATGTGTTTCGGTAAGAATATCTTTAATAATAATATTAAATGTTATTTTACTGTTTCATAAACTATACATCAATTTTCCTGCCATTCTGTTTTTTCAGGATTCGTTATTGCTATAGTCTGTGAAAACGAAAGAAGCGCCACTTACTTGGCAATGGGCTCCTTCCTCCCTATTGTAATGTTGTGCGGAATAATCTGGCCTATCGAAGGAATGCATTATATATTAAGATACATTAGCTACTTGCTGCCACTAACGAAAAGCACAGAATCGATGCGAGCTATACTAGCCAGAGGATGGTCAATTTCAAATCCCACCGTTTACAATGGTTTCATTTCTACGTTGATTTGGATAAGCGTTTTTATGACTCTTTCAATATTGTTGCTTAAATTCAAGAAAGGATAGAAACTGTTGTCCAAGTCATAGATCGAACGACACGCCAGGTATTGAGTGAGTGAATATACTTTATGGTATATTATACGTATACATACTGTGTACAGGCTATACTGCGTTAATATCGTAATATTCGACGAGTTCTTGTGCACTGGGGAAAAAACGAATGGACAATGTTCCGAATGTGTAATATATCTTTCTTTCTTTTGCTCAACACGGTTATATTATATTTATTACATGTACTTTCGGATTATTGCGAAACTGTGACGGTAGTATTTGTACAGTACAATTGTAAGTAAGCTCTAAAGTAAACGTATAATTGTAGCTGTATAATTTTTTTACAACATCTGAATCATTAACATAGAATAACCAATGACCTCCTTTTTTTATTAATAGTAGTAAATTTCTTTTTAGTATCGTATTATAGGTGCAATGAATTATAGTATTGTGTTTTTATATAGATTTATGCCAGAATAAATAAATGTACATACGATCGTATTAGAAAATATTATTCATTTTACCTACATATGCACGAAAGTGGGAGGAAACATGAATAAGGTAAATATATTTCAATAAAAACCAATGTGTTACTTTATAAAAAAGATATATAAAAATTTGTAGTTGTAATACTGAAACGCTTTCGCGTACACACATCGAATTATTCTTAAATACGTTTATAAATACATGATTACATTTTTGAATTTCTTATTTTATTACATTCTTATTTGTATTGGATTCTTTTATTTTTTAACAGGCTTTGGTGCACGTAAAAATGGTTCATGTAATGTTTTATAAATTCGTTCTGCTTTTTGCATTCCAATACCAGGACACAAAGCTAGTAATTCTGGCTCTACCTTTATCAGATCACTCAGTGTACCAAAGGTTGATAAAAGAGTTGTTGCATCTGTTTTATTAACTGATCTTATAGTTGTCAAAGAGTTAACCAACTGAAAAAAATACAGGAAAAGATAATTGTAATCCTGAAGCAAATAATAAATTTCAATATACTTTTATTAATATGTTACGTATGTACCTTTTGATATGGTGCTGTTTCACTACGATCCATAATTGCATCAGGGGGTTTATTTTCATAAATCTTATATGTTTCAATAATTCTGCCAGCATCTTCTGCATTCCATGCTAGCATTAGTGTTAAATCCGCAAGAATACATATCCTTGTTAAATGTTTTAAAGTATGAAGAGGATCTGCCATATCTACCTATAATGTTTTACCGAATGCATTTACAATACAATTACTTATTATTATTATTATACATAAGAATAAGGATTTTAAAAAACCTGGACTAAAAGGACCCTTAAATTATATGCATTTCCCAAGGCCTTCAAACGCTCATGAATATAATCAGGATTAAGTTGGTGATAACGAATTGATAAGAAAAGAGCACAGCAAGTTTTTCCCATTACATAATCTGGCACAATCTCAGAATATTCCCAAGGTACATTTGTTATGAATTTTAGTAATGGGTTTCCTTTCTACAAGCAATTTATATTTATATACAAGAAAATATAACATTATTTTCAACATAAAAAAATCCTATGTGATCATACTTGTTTCAAGTTAACTAACAGTGTATTAAATTTTGAGGTATCCTTAGTCTTAGAAGGGCCAGGCACTGCTTCTTTAAAAAATTCTGATTTCTTTAATTCACTAAATGCATCTGTGTGTAAAATATTATCATTTTAAATAAAAATATACCAAATATGCATAAAAATATCGTCATTATAAAGTAATTCACCTTGAAAAGAAGAATCAACCTTAGGTTGTTTAGGTGGAGAAATATTAATTTCATCTGTGTCTTCCATTATATTTCTTTTTTTCTATCTTTAAATAAATTTTTAACTTTTTGTAAACTGTGGAATTATTAAAAATATATCGAATTCAATTTTTATTGCATTTTATGATTTTATATAAAATTAACGTAATTTCTTTGACGTCGTGGAAAAAACTAATGATAAGTTATTGAAAACTATTATGTTGGTTACAACATTAGTAAATGACATAGACACGACTGAAAGTACATATATAGGTTATTACCCTAATTAATAAATAGTAAAAAACAATAATGACAAATTGGTAACAATAATTGTTGTATAAATATCTGTTATATATTGATATTGAAATATATTAATAAACAAATTATATGTATTCATAGTTTATAAGTTTTCTATTAAGACAGTTTTATGCAAGTATTGAAATTGATAATTATTAGATCATTAACTATGAAAACAAATAATAGTGTTTTTTATTTTCCTATTGGTAACACTGTCAATTGATAACATCTGATGACATATTAACTTGACATATTTTTATAACCAACTGTTTGTTATTTTCATTATGTATTTTTGTCAGTATTTTAGGAATAAAATAGTATAAATGTTCATGTGCATTTTAGAACTTACAGGACTGACTGGTAGCTAATTTTTGTAGATGTAATTGAAGATTAATATATTCATAGAACGTAACCTAACATTTTTAAATGGACAAGGAGAAGTTAGAGACCAAAAATTCGAAGCAACCTCCTTGGAAGGATGTTAGCATATCAGATCCACGAGTACGGTTAAAGTATCTATCTGATTATGCTTCCACAGTAGAAATGGACCGTAACAATCCACCACACAGGTATCAAATTTTGTTGGACCTATGTTTCATGCACTACTATTATGTAACTTTTAAAAATCAATTGTAAAGTTCAATAGATTAATTACAATCCCAATGTTCTTCGTTTTCTTTTGTGCTTTACAGGTATTATCGTTCTGGTGTGGAAATGCTTAGAATGGCAGATATGTGTATGAAAGATAATGATCTTGAATATGCATACCTTTTATATGTCAAATTCATAACGTAAGATGTATTTATAATTCTTTGTACAAAGAAAAGTTAAGATAATTAAAAATTATTTTTTAAAAAGATGTATTGCCACAGGATTTTTCTTGAAAAAATAAGAAATCATCCACAGTTTCATACAGTACCATTGAAAGACAAGAAACAAAATGAACAAACATTACGCAAAGTAATCCCTAAGGCTGAAGAGTTGAAGAAACAATTATTAGAACAATACCAAACAGAGTTCAATGAATATTTAGGAGATATGAAAGAAAAAGAAAGAATTGAAAAAGAAAGACTGAAACAAGAAGAACTAGAAAGGTACTTAAAAATATTTTAAATATTAATATATATTATTTATACACATATAATATTTGCTTAGATTGAGGGAAGAAGAGAAGAAGAATAAGTTAGCTGCATTAGCAGCTGTTAAAGCAGCAAAAATTGCTGCAAGTGAAAATGTAGTAGCTCCAGAAGAAAACAAGATTAAGAAAATTTCAAATATATCACCAAAACCATTAGTACAATTAGTAAGTCCAGGTAGTGATGTAACTGCACAAACATCTAAGGAAAAGTATGTATAATATAAAAGAATTACTCAATTCTTATAACATTTTGCAAAAATTATTAAGTAATAAAATTATATTTTATAGCAAACCTAATATAGATCGTTCAACAAAGCCTTCTCTACTATGTGACAATTTTATTTTAAGAGATATAGTATTGCCAACTAAGTTAATGCACAATTTTCTCATGTTGGCTTTCACTAATACAATGAATAATAAAGAGACTTGTGGTATACTAGCAGGAAAATTAGAAAGAAATAAATTACTAGTCACTCATTTATTAATTCCTGAACAAACAGGATCCCCAGATTCCTGTGTTACACATAATGAAGAAGATATATTTGATTATCAAGATCAACACAATTTGATTACTCTTGGTTGGATACATGTATGTAACTTCTATATTACTTGAATTTAAGGTACAATTTTAAACGAAAAATTAATTGAATGAACTTACAAATAGAAGAGATATTTGTTCTTTACAGACACATCCTACACAGACTGCATTTCTATCTAGTGTTGATCTTCATACACATTGTGCATATCAACTTATGATGGCTGAAGCAATTGCCATTGTTTGTGCTCCTAAATATGATGAGTAAGTAAGAAAAATAGATTTGAAAAGAGATTAAAATGTGTATTTTTTTGTTTACTCAAATTTGTTTTTCTCTTTCAGGACAGGTTATTTTATTTTAACTCCAGAATATGGATTAGAATTCATTGCTAATTGCAGGGAAACGGGATTTCATCCGCATCCAAACGATCCTCCATTGTATATGGTAATTTTTATAGCAAATAAAATTCACATATACATTGTTTGTTGTATATATTCAGAAATGTTTTTTTTTTTTTTCAGAAAGCAAAGCACTGTAAATTGGATACAACAGCAATTATAGAAGTAGTAGACTTAAGAAGAAAATGACATCTCTCAGATGTATTATACATATGTATACACTTGTGCATATTTTAACATGTATAACTACTATATACCAAGTTATATATTTAACTATCAACTACGTTACGTTAAGTAAAAGGAGTAAAAAATTGCAATTATTATAGCTTAAATAACGTTAGGATTTAGCATTTGCAAAGCTTTAAATATTTTTATGATAAAGCTTTAAAAAAAATCTTTAATATATTTGAAATAAAATTATGCATTTAAAAAAAATAGAAAAATATTAGTTCATCGTGAACAAAATAATAAAATATTTAAATAACTTGTAGTAAATTACACACAACGGATTTTATATAATTTAAACATTATATTTATTCTATTAGTGATAAAAAATTGAGTTGACTGAAATTAAGTATTACCGGTAAAAATAGTATTAAGATTCTCATTTCACAAACATTGAGCAATTCAACCTCTTCTAATGAAAGTAACAAATTTGCTTGCGTACAGTTTATACAAAAATAGAATATCTAAAATAGCGAGGTACAAATGTGCATCTATTACTTTTTCGTAACATTTATATTTATTTACTCAGGTAACATACTACATTATATGCCGGAAAATAAATATACAAGTACAACCAAAATTTTTATAAACATTAGCGGTGTGCAAAATCTGTGCATTTATAAGTTTACGTGCCTTTCATGGAAAAATAATGGTGTTCATAACCTCACGCTAATAACATGAAGTATGTGCAACGTTCAATTGTAGATATTGCACGATATTGTCAAGTAACATTAATTATTGGTGGGTCATTCGATAAGACCATTTCGTTACGTAAGGTCGTAATCGAAAAATCAATAAATACATTGACATACTGTGCTAGTCTTAACTTAATATACAAAGCTTGTTATGAAATATATTGGTACACTGAAATCGATATGTCAACCTTATGTGATGTTTCATTATATGTACTCTCTATCATAATACTGTATTTAAAAAATCGTACAGTACAATAGATGCTGTGTTAATTGATATCAATGTAAAAGGTTTGTACTAGTAGGTACCTGATATAACTTTTATGTACTTAAAAGTTTAATTACACGCTTACATACTGTTTATGAGACTGTATCTTTTCCTGTCTCATAAATGTGCAATATGTTGTACATATAAATAATCATTCATTCCTTATTAGCAATTCTTTCTAAGACTTAATATGTAATTATAAATTTTCGTTGTAACAAAACACATTTCAAATGCCAAATCACGATCAAATCTGTGCTACACATCGAGGGACGTAACTTCTAAGTAGTTTCGAACATAAGTTATTATGATAACACTGGCCTACTGAATGTTAGGAAAAATATTTATATTTCGCAAGGGAAAAATAAACCATGAATTAATTCAATAAATATTACTTTCCGTTGTTTATTATGGACAGTTCTTGACGATGAAACAAAGGATTTTACAAGGAGCGCCGTAAAATCTGTTCGTATTTTTGCATTTTATACGCGCATTGTCCGGGAGCATTTACTGAAAGCGATTATTCGCCGTTCAGAGCATAACAAAACGAAATTATTTACCGAGAATGAAAAATAAAAAAGAAAGAAAGCACAGAAGAAAATAATTCAGAGCCAGGATACGGAATTCTAAAGAGAACCTATTGTAGGTACATACAAGTACCTCGTGAGAATGCTTCTCGCCATTCACCTCTCTTCGCGTATATCGAATTACCTGCGTTGAAGGGTTTCGCGCTTTGCAGGGTTTTATCGACGGCAGGGTCAATCTATTTTTACGTGGTAGCTTATGTGTTCTTCGTTTCACCGTTTACAGAGTGTGTATAAATCACGTTACGCGTAAGTATTCTCTTTGTGCACGCTCCTTTACCTATGAAAATTTCACTTCCGCACATTACTCTTTGACCACTTTTTTTTCTTGTTTATTGATTTGTAAATACATTCTGCAAAATGGAATTGTTAAGTTTTATCGCAGTTTGCGATATTAATAATTTATTAACAATTGATTGTTATCATTGAATATAATAATCGAAGCAATGATGCGTAACTTTCACTCTCAGTCATTCCATAGTTTTGACATTTATAGGCAGTCTTACTGAAATGCAGTTGTCATTAATTATGCAAGAATATTGAACATGTACTTTTGCATGACTTTTTAATAACAAAAAGATATGTCATTAAGCAGTTACTTAACGTCTTGTGAGAATAAAGTTGAAAATATTTAACAATAATATTTTATGTCTATAAAGCTGTATGTTTAAATAAAAATGCATTAGTTTATGCAAAAGAATCCTTCCAGAATTATGCGTGTAAACATTTCAACTATTGACTGAACCATAACCACATTTCGAAGTTCGACATTTGTCGCAATATTAGAACAACAAATACGTCGTGTTAGAAGTGAGAGCTGAGAGTACAGCCAACAGTTTGTGGCAACATTAAGCGGTATTGCTTTCCGAGAAATAGGCTAAATCAGAAGCGTTTGCTTTTATCTCGCATTCTCGATCTTATCAGCAACACATGTTTGAAATGGGGGGTCTCAAGTTCAATCGAATTCGACTTGTTCGTAGTTCTTTTATGCAACTTTTCTATGTACATATGCAGTTCAATCAGCTTGTAAATATAACATTTAAAAAAATTAAACCAAATTTTCGTACATTTAAACTTAACATATTTATTTTTCCTAACTTCTTCCAAATAAAATTAAAGGTTATAATATTTTACTAATTTCCAATATCGTTTAATATTGACTTACTTTCAGGACACCCTGTATTAGATACTTTCAAGGTAGGAATTATTTCAAAGAACAATGCAACTACTTACCATAAATAATCCTCCAATTACTTAGGGTAATAGGTTAGCAAAATTCAAGACTTGAAGATTTTTTTCCATTCCAACAGTTCGAGGAATGCATTTTTGTCGGATTAAAATGACAATCGATGATTCTTCGCAAAAATCGCGTTACTCAGATAGGGAAAATCTTAGATCCAGAGGCGAAAGATTAATCAGCGCGTGGATAAAGAAGGAGAGAATATAAGCAGGTATGCAGCGGCCTCCTGCCTTACAAGTGTATTCGATGACGTATAAAATCCCGGAGGGTAAAACGCCTGTGACGTACACACGTACGATTCCTTCTGTTACGTTGCCTTTAATCTCGTTGTTACCGGTTTTTGCTGTCGGATATCGATCAGGCACGAGTTGTGCAGTGGGAATTTCAGCATACGTGGATCTATTCCGGGAATGTAGCCAGGTAGTGTACTTTAATGTGGGTAAAAGTCAATGTGTGATTATCTTAATAGCAGTACGTTCATTGAGGATTCAGGTATTACGTAATGAAAATTCTCATTAATTCAACGATGCCAGAAACTTGGTGCTTGAATGGTAAATAGAACCGCTAGGTATATTTACAACATTGAGTATTTATACAAGTTAAATGTGGAAATATGTAGGTCACTGTAATGACGTTTTGAATAACTATAAAATATCTTTAAATCTTCCAAAATTCTCTTCCTTTGGGTATATTTAAATATTATATTCAAAATAATCGAGAATGATAAACAAATAAAATTGGAAAAATAGCTGCTTGATTACAATCCATATGAATCATAAAACAGTTGAATCATGAAATCCGAAACAATTTCATCATACAGGCTAAGGTTACTATACCCGAGACTATACGGTAGTCAAATTGCGTTTAACCGATAAAATTTGAGAAGTTGCGGTCATGCGTGGATCTACCACTTACATTTGCATCATCGATTTCATTAGACAAGTGTGTCATTCAATGTTCAAATGAAATTTCATTCAATTAAAGCGGGAATCAGCCATCGAGACGAATTTCACATTTTACCATATTTCTTTTTTTTCTTGGTTTTGACAAATATTTGTAGAATCACTTATCTTAATTTGTTTAACGTTCAAAATCAAATATGGCTGAAAAAAGTACATAAAAACGCGTTATAAAAAGAAACAAGAAAGATGTCACTGTTCTCAATGTGAAACTCATTTCTATAGATCAGTCTTAACCTGTTTTAACGATTCCCGCTGATTATATTATAGTTCTTTATCTTCTGAAAGATTGTATGTACACTTATATAAATAGCGCGTCTCTTAAGTCAACTGATAAGTAGCTACGAACGAATTATGTTCAGGACTGGTTTATGTACTTTGTTTCGTTTTGCCTTCCTTTCGCACATGCCGCGCGTTATTCTAGCCCTCCCTTTCGTCGTTTGTCACTACTATATACCTCTCCAGCCGCGTAGAACGTGCAGTATGCTGTTGCTCTCAAAGGAAGAAACGACTGACGGTGCGGTGTGAGTTGTTTCGCGCGTACGTTTCAGTTCTGTATCGTTAAACATTAGATACCGAGTAAGACGGTAAACTTGTGACTCGATCGATAAAAATTATCAAATAGTTGAAAGTTCGTTTACCACATGGCATCTATCCATTGTAGATCTCTGTTCTATTATTAAGAACAAGATATACCTCGTGTACCACTAAAGGTGACTATAGTATAAATATTCCGATCGTGATTATAGCGTAACGATATTCCACTAATAGTAGTGCAACTCGTGGTGATGCGTCGTTCTATAAAATTCGTTCGTGAAAGTTTTCGGCGCTCGAAGACCGGCCACCAGTTCATCTGAATGTGACCACTTTCCACGACTAATATCACGGTAGCGATTGTGTAATTATTGGTGTTCAAGACGTCGATTGAGGACAGTGTTTATTTCACAAAAATTCGCGCATCGGTGAAATGTATATCGAGGCTTCACAGCCGTTGCCGAAGTAGCGCGTAAAACGGATAGTCGAGAGTTCAAAAGTGAACGGCGAGTGAGACAATTTGTGTACGAACATTTTCTTCCGTCTTGGAAGGAGCAGAAGTGTAATTGTAATGCAGTTGATTGTGGGATGCCGTAATTGCATGGGATATCGGTGTAATCACAACCGAATTGTGGCTTCGCACGTGACAGATAGTACAACGTTTATTCTTCGAGTTTTGCCATCTGCCCCTGTTTCCTGGTCTCTCTCCTAAATGCATAACGATTCTTCGCCAAACGATTGCAAATAGGGAAAAAGTGGAACATTCTACTTTCACGTTCGACGAAGGTATGCACTTTTAGAGTGTGTATTATACACTGAGAAATAGGTTAATCCCTCGTTCTGCATTGATTTTTCAATCGACAAGGATCTCGTGCGATTATTTTCTTTGTGGGTTATTTTATCAAAATCAACGGAACGATTTCAAGTGTAGATCTTTAAGTGTAAACGTTTCACTGCAACGTGTTTTTATTGAAAATAAACCGTGAATTGCGTTCTACCGGTTCGGTCACTTAACACGTATGATAAAAAATTACACGGTAATTGAGCTGTAATTATCGACATCATCGTTAAAAAATTCCATTTGCAATTACGATAATCTTTTTTTCTTTATGTCTTGTCCGTGAGGAATACGCAATAAAGCATAAAAATGTTTACGAAAGAAAAAATATAAAGCAGTTAGTTAATGAAAAATTAAAGAAATAATCAAATGTGTCCTTATTTTGAAATAAAAACTTTTTATAAATATTGATTCTCACGTTTCTTATTGAAAAATTACTAAAGTGTTCTTTTACAAAGCATTCATCCAGCAATACCTGGAATTAGTATTGTGAACATTTTTCGCGTGTCATGTCGCTATAATAATAAACGTATATACGCACATGATAATTATACAAATTTCTTTCTTATCGACCTAGAAATGATATTTCCAACGAATGCACATGTCGTGTGTTAATGGTATATTAATGTAAATAGTTGTTTTTATCTTTGCGGATAATCGAATTTTCACAGATATTTCAACCGATATTTTCTAGTTTCTGTTCGATATAACGTTGGCGCTGTCACGCGTAATAACACAAAAATGTCAGCAAATAGTAACGCCAGGGAAGGAGATTTATGTAACTTTGTCATAGGAATCCGGCACGTCTTCATTCTTGTAGGATTTCTGTAACGATTGTGTCCGAAATTAGGAACAACCTCTGTTAAAAAACTTGTACGTTCTTGGCACGGTAATGTGTCTATGCTACAGAAGAAAATCTAAAGTGACGGGTTTCGTGTGCGTGCAACATTCCAATTCCATTGCCGCGCTTTCGTGTTGCAGCGTAGCGCTTTTCAAGTTCCACTTTGTATGAAATCGTAACATTTTTCTTCTTTGTATACAAACGAAATTTTTATCAAACTTTCGTTTCGCCTTGAACAAGCATAAAGGACAATCAGTACAATGCTCGAACAACGGAATAATGCATGAACGTAAAGTAAAATTAGCGAGGGATCCACTGACACACTTACAACGATATTATATGACATGACGTCGTTTTACAAAAATCTAATTCTGTTTTTGTCGAAACGTTATATTTCGAATGACGTACATACATATCTAATGATGATGTACGAATAATTTAAGGATAATTAAAGTGAAGTGTTGGATGATATATTACAATTTTGCATGTGTAAACCGTGTGATTATTTGTCATGTGTAAATAATGGTCATATGTTTTCACGTACTTGTGAGCGGTAGAAGTTTTCGTCATGAAGCTTAAAGAGAGCAAAAAATTCAATGGAAGGTTAAATAGCTCAATTGATACAGTAGTTATATGTTAAATGTAAGATGATACGGTCAAAGTCATGTCTACTAAGTTCAGTTAATCAATTTTCAATTTGTTATGTCTTTCAGACATGCACTTTGTGTTGGGGTATATTTGGTTCTCACATTACCCTGAATTGTGGAATTATGCACAATCAAGGAACATTATGTTTGTTGATTTGATCGAAACTCATAGATGGCAGTTATTTTCAGATAATTTGTCGGAAGGAATTTACCGACAATCTAAAGCGTACAATTGTTAGGATAGATAGACATCATAAATGGAAAAACCTTTTTTTAATTCAAATTTTACTCCAGCAATTTACGATGGATAAGTCCTTCAGGTTGCTACTGTCAGTAATCGTCACTATGATTCACTATAAATCAGATAAGAGTGATAACAAATATCGAATGTGAATGTTTTAATAAAAAAATTTTTACTGTACCATAAAGTTATTGAATTTTTAATAAATACACGGAATAATTTACACCTATTATATGAATAGTGCTATAATAAAATCTCTTTGCGTGGTTAAAATTAATTACTTACCTATCCTATTAATTATTTACGTAAAAATATAATTGGATTATCAACGAGTTGCATTTTTATAAATACTTTAGTTTTTATTTTTACCTCGAATTTTTATTATTAGTTCCATTACAATGCCAACGTGCAATTGAAAATGTATTTATCATTTGCCTAGTTTATCTAAGATAGCAGATAAAATAAACGAGAGAGGAGGGGATGTTTCTCGAATTGATAATTGCAATCTCGATTTCAGGTTCGATTCGTGATTAACGTTCGAAGTGATAATAGCTGAGACAAAGAAGTGTATACATAAACGCAGGAAAGTTCTTGAAGTTCGAAACGTGAATCTGGGATACAGAAAACGAGAAAAAAGATGCTTCGGTTGCCGGTGATCGTTGTTTTGACGGTTTCGATATTCGGTAAGGCGGGTATTCAATAATATTTCTATGTCCAAAATAAAATGAAACAAATGTTCGATCGTGATATTCAAATCGTAAATAGATAGTGTATCGTTGAGTTTTTAAACGATCGGGGTTAACTATAGATCAAAAAATATGCAAATCCTTATTTTTAACGTCACTCTCAGAATTCGCACGGAACGAAAACAGTTCCACATACACATGTATATACTGTGTTCAGCATAACGTGATGCGTATTTGTATGTGGTTAATTTTTATCGAATTATTTTTATTTTTAATTGTACAAATTGTTTTATAAATTATTATATTGATAGCTGGCAGAGTGTGTCCAGCACAACAGAAAGAAGAACATGAAAAAAACAAAGTGGATGCAGTGGGAAGCCTGCAGAACACGACTAATATTTTAAGTAATAGTAGTAGCGAAGCAGTCGATCCTTCGATAAAGGCGAGGGAACATAATATAAAGGGTGGGTCTAATGAAATTTCTTAACGGTTTGGCTCTTTGTGCTCTCATCAATCCGTCTGACGCTTAAAGCACACAGGGTCAATATTCTTTGTGTTTATTTTTTATATAATTTTAGTACGAGTTACCAAAGCGGAAATGTTATTAAATATTTAACTATTTTTTAAAATATAGATGAAGAAAACGAAATCAAAATCTCCACGACGTTGAAAAGTCCAACAAAGGTGAATGCAACTCCATCGCCGGTGAGCGTGCAAGAAATAGCTGAAAATGAGAAGCAAAATTGTACCTCTACGAAGGAACCGATCGACATGCTTAAATGTCACGTGACGCCATCCGACGACGATGAAATAATAGAGCAAAATTCATCATCAAACACAACAGGTATTTACCACATGAAATTTTAATAAAATTGGTTAATTGTATAAAAAAATTGGTTGCACTGTTCGTTTCTCAAATTTTTCTTTTTCCGAAGAATCTACTACGGTAGCTACGACTTTTACGAGCAATAAGACAGAAGTGATCCCGGAATCTCAGGTCCCGGAAACTACTAATAAGGACAAAGAAAATGCCGGGAAGAAGGATATGGAAACTGTTGTGAATAACGCAGTGTCCACGGATCAAGTGACTTACGACGTTGTACCCACAGAGGAAGATAATTCTTTGCATACTAATAATTCAAGTATTTTTCCTCTACATTATACATAATTTAAGTACCACGAATATGAAGTGACATGTAAATTTTATGTTGTAGATGCTTCAAGTACGGATTCAAAGCATACTAATTCCAGCGACGTATTGATTGGCCCTGCACCACCATTGCTAGTAAATAAGGCTAACGCAAATACAGAGTCTGAAAGTATAGTTGAGGCGATAAAATCTCCCGATCAAGTTAATAAAAAGCGCATGCCTTCAGGGATTATAGCGCTAGTTACTGCGATAAGTTTTGCCGTAGCAGTTGCGTTGGTATATGTTGGAATGATTATGTGGAGACGATATATGGAGTGAGTTCACACTGAATTATTTGATTTTCATTGTTTGAAGCAATCAATTGTTCCGTTTAACAATATTTCTGTTGTAGGTACAGATACGGACATCGAGAATTACTTGTTAACGAGCTAGAGTTTGATACTAATGATTTGCGGCATTTTGAGGTACGTCATTAATTATAATTGATATTGTAACATTTTTGCATAATTCCATTTTATATTATTGCAGCTGTGATTCCAAACAACAACAACAACAATAACTTGCTGAGAAAAGTGAATGATTCACAGCTGAGGCTGATACTATGTAACTATTAAAGATTCATTGATCTGTGATACTAAGGACATGCGTTGCGTCTGACAGTCAAGACACCAAATATATTTGGATAATATTATACATTTCTTATAATGTAATTGTTTTATATACAATATGTATACAACCCACTTTTTTCAACATGTTGACCGTCTTTTCCTTCTCCTGTAGAAATTAAAATAACGTTACTGTGCTACCATTTATTTTTTTCATGATAACTATGATGCGCAGATCGTTGAATAAATGACGTAGCGTTTTAAGTATCGATTACATGTTTCAAAGCAAATTATGGGTGCTAGAATAATATGTATCAGTTTCGTCAATGTTATTATAATAATATTCATTGTTTCGTAGTTAATGTATACTGTAAGTTGCGCCTTTGTAACGTAGTATTATCACTTTTGTTTTCATATTTCTTTTTGTATTGTGTGCGACGAATACGTAAATACTTTTAGTTAAATAAATCAGTGGATTATTTTTTTAATCAACAAGTTTTTATTGTAGGCTGTAAGGCAAGTCTTTCCATCCAATCAAGATAGATTAGTGATACATTTTCTAAAATCAACTATAATTACTTTCAGTAAAAATTATGCATATAAAAAATAATACGAAATAACATGTAATCCTGCATATTTGTGCTTACACAATTACTAACAAAAGGATTTCGCAAGAATATATTTATTTATAAATTTGTTAAATCACATTCTAAAAAACAGTTAGAAGTAATAAATATATTTTTTGTATTCTGCATTTAATATTGTTCTTTTTTTGGTTCTTGATTTTCAATATTTATCTATAGTAATATTTTTTGCATGTTTCAGTTTTCTATGAAGTATCTACATTGTTCATTAGAGAAATTTTTTTTGTTGAATATTAGTAACATTGTACATGGCAAGTATGTATAATGACATTTATGTATCAACTAGTTTACATTAATCTTTCTTGTTTGTAACTACAAGGGGACCTACATTATCATTCATTTCTTGATTATGACGTCCATGAGAGCCATCACAGTATGGCCACTGGAATAGTAAATATTATCAATATTAGTGCTAATAACAAGTTCCATTTGTCAATTTATCAATACTAATAATACACATAAATATAGTTAATATATAAAAGGATCATATGATTGCATAACATGTGTCTCATGAACTTATTTTTGGAGATACTTAATGTAGGTCACTTATAAGCCAGATCTAAATCTCAATATTACATGACAGTATATAAGATGGAAACATGGAAAGTTACAAAACTTACATTTTGAGATCTCCAACAACGACAAAATGCAGCTTTTTCAGATATATCTTCTATGTCAACTGTGTCTACCACTTTATTTACATCCTTCTTAATGGTAAGGTTCACACGTCCGCATGGCTGAAAATATGATTTACATACCTTAGAATGCAGAAACAAATGATAAAAGGCATTAACTATTCAATATATATATTCAAATATAAACCTGTAAATGTTATTTATATTAATTAATAATATTAATTTTCGAAATAGGCAAAAATAGATGCAGGAATGTCTAAAACAATAGTTATGTAATCGTGAAAGGAAAAAGCAAAATACACGGTTAATACATTATCTGAACGTCCTTGATGACCTCGTAACAGGTAGATTACTTACCGGACCTCTACCTAATGGGCAAAATGCTTTGTACGACATGTACCCAAGACCGGCTAACATTGCTGTAGGTGGAACTAACGCAATCCAGTCTCGTACTAAATAAAACAAAATTTTTATATATTCGTGTTATTTGTAAAATCATTCGATAGAAAGTTGCATAGTGGTAACTGCAGTGTCATGTGTAAAATCTTATTTTTAAAATCTATACGATGTGATTCAGCCAAATTATAGAATATCTCGCAAATATATTATTTATTTTCTTACTTCCTAGTCGAAACCATCCTCCTATAGAATCTGGAACGGGTAATCCAGCCAAATAATTAGGAATAGATACTTTGACGAGATGTGATACTGGCTCCATGATTGCTATCAGTACTACTCTAGTCAAGTTGACAATCAACCAATTTCGAATGCGAACCAGCTTGAATTTTACATTCCAGCAGTTGATTATTCTTTCAAATCATGAAAGTGAGCATGTAAGTTAATCGATATTTCGAATAAATTTATATTTAATTTGAAGCCGAATATATGATTAATATATTTTATTTTTCTCATCGATCATATATTCTAAAATCACTGTAACATTAAATAAAAAGAACTTGATCACATATTACTCTCATTTAAAATTTTCAAATGCAACATTATCTCATCTCTAGTCGATGTGCACATTTCATTTAGTGATATAATTTTTTTTTAAATAAGTATGCGACGCAATATTCTCTAAATCACAAATGAAATATTGGCAACGCATGCCGTTTCTTTAAAAGCAGAAAAATTTTTGAATTTATTTAACCAACACAACAGTCGTAAAATGTTAGCTTAAAATGTATCGATATATGCGCATGCATTTTTCAAGTTGCACATTTCCAATTGCATTGTTGCCGGCAGATTTTGATTAACGTAGTAAGAAAGGTGAAGGACCGGTGGGGTCCGTAAGATGCCTTGTAGGTGGCGCCATCCAGTCGCGAGGCGTTCGCCGGGCAGGGTGGAGGTGGCTGCGTCGTCCGCAAGGATACGTGGTCGGTTGCCGCGACGCCGCCGCGGTTCGCGCAGGCACAGGTACGAAGTGCGCGCGTTTTCGAGGCGGTATCACGAAAAGCGCAGGAGTGGCGTTTCTACGTATCGTTCCGATATCGCTGCTACGGCCCGTCGTTGATGTGCAGCGGGTAGTAGGAGAAGGTTCGCGGCATAGGCGGAAAGAGAGAGGAAAGACCAGGAAAGAGGAGGGAAAAAGAGGGAAGGAAAGAGATAGAACGGTTCTATCGCGCGGTGCAGTGCGAAAAGTGTTCGCTAAGGGGGCCCTTGCTTCTTCCCGTGTGTAGGTGTGCGTGCGTGTGCCAAGCGAGAGCACGTAAGAACGTTGACTAGTGACACACGGTGTTGGAAAACGTAGAGAGAGAAAGACGAATAAACACGGGGGCCGCCGGATAATCCTTGTGCACGGTGTGCGGGTTTCGTGAAGGTGCGTCAAATGACAGTGAGGTGATCAATGTGCTCGAAACATGGCTGAGGAGCTGGTGGTCACCCTGAACCGCGGCGACTCGTCCGGATTCGGGTTTTCGCTCCTCGGTACCGCGGGTTTGCCGCACGTCATCTACGACATCATCGAGAATTCGCCGGCAGCGAAGAGCGGCAAGGTGAGTACTGGCTTCGATCGTTTTCTATATGCTACCGCTTGGTACCACCAGACAGAGAGAGGAGAGAGAGAGAGAGAGAGAGAGAGAGAGAGAGAGAGAGAGAGAGAGAGCGAGAGAGAGAGAGGTTCGAGGATGGTCAAAGGTGGAGTTACGGAAAGAGCAACCCCAGCTCTCTACATATATGCATGTAACACGTATACGTTTCGCGCTCGTCCAGAGAATCCTGCGAACGGCAAGGGCCTCAAAATAACGCCCGGTGTATATCGACCCGTGTTATTATCGCGAGCACCCTCTGTCGCCCCGTCTGTTTCTTGACCTTTGATTACTTTTTATTCTCACACTTTACTTTGAGCCGTGCTGCCTAGTGCTTCTTGTATATACACCCGTCTTAACGTCTACGGTACGGGGATGCTGATTGGCTGGGTGGGATCGGTTTAACGGCCACATTCCAGCCTGTCGGTCGGTCCCTCTGTCCGTGTGCTTTCTCTCTCTTCTCCTTTTTCCCTCTCTATCTGTCTCTATCTCTCTCTTTCTCTTTTTCTCGTTCCTGTTTCCTGGGGAACGTGCCCCTTCTCGACGATCATACGAATCGGAAAATTTGAATCGAAAGAGAGAGAGAGAGAGAGAGAGAGAGAGAGAGAGAGACGGGGTCCCTTTGTGTGTTCCTACGATACTCGCAGCTACCTATCGTTTTTTAACGATCTCCCGCGTTGTCGTTGAAATATTTTCAACGCAGCCATGTTTATATGCTTGAAATGCGAAACGACTCGTGTTTTGCACGATGATAGTACGATACGTGGCACGATGCCTGATTTTCCATTATCTTCGCTTTACCTGTCCTTGTATTTCCTGTCTTACGTATTCCACATTTGTCTTTGAAACCTTGCATATTTCGATTTGCAAACAGTCCTAGCATACTGCAGTGATTTCTCATCTTCCCGTTATGATATAATTGCTTTATCCGCATCTAGTGAAAACAAATTAATCTCGTCGAATGACGAATAATTACATAATGCTACATTGCAATTATATCCTTTTCAAAAAAGCAAAAGACAGTAGTGAATAGCTGATTAATTTTTTCAAATTAATATTCAGCTAAGATAATTTCATGTAATTGGTCGACTTAGAGTCACTACACCTTTTTTCCATGGTTTCACGCTTTTTTCATGGTTCGCGTCGTTACGCGATTGCCAATTTTTTCGCGGTACCTCGTAATCTTGCAAATTGAACGCACTCTCTCTCTATCCCCCCCTCTCTTTTTTCCCTCTTGCCAAGCAATCTTTTCCGGTTTTAGCGTAGAATAGATCGATTGCTTTGTCGTAACTGGTTTCCGATACAGGCCACACAGGGAAAGATGCGGATTTCGAATGGCAGATGCGGAATAGATTAACCGTCGTCGTGCGGACCAGTTTCGAACGAGTTCGCTAGCCGCGACGGCGAGAGGGAGCCGTTGAGGGAAAAGCTTAACGGTTATTAAGAATGGCGTATCTTTCTTTAATCATTGAACCGACCAATGTGAAAGGTTCTTCTTCGATAGATTCGTTCAATTACATTTTGTGTGTGAGATTTGAGGGATCTTGTTGGCGACGGTTACGTGAGTTAAATAGATGTGTTTATAGGTTAGTTCCGTTCGGGCGCATATACATATTTTGACGTGTTTTTGGAACGTGCCACATCTCCGAGCAATCAAAGCGAGTGTCTCAAAAATTGCGGCCGGTGCGCATGCGCGCGACTTTTTGTGTCCTGCATAACTGTCATTCGCGAGAAGAATGCGTGTAACAAAGGAGCGGCTGGTCATTATGCGTGATTGGAATGTGTCACTGCATATACGCCATCTCTTTTTTCCTCTCCTTTCCCCTATTTTTGTTTTTCTCTGAATTCTTAAGGTTCTATTAAGCGGAGTGGTGTAATCGAAATGCACACGTTTTCGTAGCTGCATGAGCACCCTCATTCCGTACCATTAATTCTAGTAACAGTGAGATAATATATATTTTCCAAGTACCCTATGATTACCAGCACTGTGAATCTTTGTTGCGGGGATGTTGAAGAATAATTTTACGCGTTTGTAATAAAGTAGTATCGCTTCCAGTATGTACTTTACCAGCAGCTTTCGTGCTTTCGACGGTTTATTCAATCTTACATTCGATCTATCACTTCAGTTTTCAATTGCGTCGAATTATCTATGTCAGCCTTCTTTTTTAAGTGGTGCAAATCTATTGTTTCTCTCTTCGTGATATATTAAGCTATTTTAACCTACTTGGGAATATTATCAAAGATTGAACAGTAGAATAAATAAGCGTTACCAATAACTCTTTATCTATCGAATAATCTAGTTCGCTAAAAATAAGAGGTTAGAAATTCACTTCCATACATATTTAGATAATAGAGATACAGAATCATTCTCGACTTTCGTTATTATTAACGCTAACAGAAGACATCTTTTTCTTTGAAAATTAGATTGTACTAGAAGGAAGAAACGACTGTTATTTAACTTTTCCAAAAACATAGTCACTTTCGCGCGTCGCTAGAAGCGTGCAACACGAGCTGCTCGGATACAGTTTATAGGTACAAGGCGTAACCAGATATTGGTTGTTGCGATCACCGTTTAGCATAATTATCGTAACTGTTCACGCGTATTGGAACTTTCTTTACGAGACGACGTCAGAGATACGTTATCAGACTGCTCGATTTATTCCACTGGCCGAGCTTGGTGAGAAACGAGAAGACGAAATCCAGCGAACTGGATATTTCCTTTTAATTAATATGGCAGCGCGCCGTGGGCCTCGAAAAGCAGGTTAGGCCACTATATTGGTAGCCACTCAAGATTCATTGTTCGACCGGTACAAAGAACGCGTAATACATTTTGCATTGTTCCCGCGGAGCTGCTCACGGTTGGATTTTTAAAATTGTTTTTTCTTTTTTTCTTTTTTCTTTTTTTTTTTTGCCAAAGTTGCTAGAATTGGAATTGGAATTGAAAGGAGGCGGAACGAAGGTTTAGCGAGTTACTGGAGAATTTAAGGTGTAATAAATGTCTCTGGTAATTTTTGTGTGAATTTTTGTAAGGGTTTGCGGTTAGGTTAGGTTCGGTTCGGTTCGGTGGAATAAAACTGGGGGAAAAATGTTTTAGTAATAATTCTGGTGATTAATGTTTTATTATAGGATGTTGTAATAGTGTAATGATTATTATTGTAATTAATAGTTTTATGAAAATTAACGCTTGTCAGACATTTTTTAGGTTATTAAATTTTTTAAAATTGTTTTATTTTATGTTGGTATTAATACGATCGTATCTTAAGCTGATTAGCAATTCATTAATTGAGTCACCGCAATGACGATTGTTTAAACACAGTTATCATGTGTTAAATCTTGATTGGTACGTCATGTTAGCGTACTTAAATCGATGAATACAAATGATTTATGCATCAACTCAGCTAACAATGTCTTAAATATTCAGCCAACCAGTTGTTAAACGATGAAACATGCGGATGATTTCATTAAACGAGGTATTAAGCATCCTTGGTTATTTAATTACTTTTCACGTTGTTTAAAAAAAGTCTTTACATCGTGTTCAATAAGATATCGATCAAATAACATGTATATTTTATGTAATATAAAAAAAGATACTGTAAATTATAATAAAATTAGAAATTTTCATTCTATTAATCAAGCAAATCTATTTTATTCAACAAGAAAAAAATCACTATAAATTAAACATCAAACTTTGAATCAAACTTCATCTAAATAATATTTCACTCCACAAAATCATATATCTCGATCCAGAATCAAACTACAAATTTCAACAGCCAGCGTAATTGTTCTAAAAAAAATAGAGAAAAGTGCACTAACCTCATCAATCACACGGAAAACTTAGTTCCGTTAAACGAACGAAACTTGCTATAAATTGTAATTAAACTAAAAATTCCAACAGGTATGATAATTCTTCAAGTGCCACTCGCTCTTATCGGCTAACCACAGAAAAAAAGAACATACTTGTGTTCGCTCACGAAACGCATTAACGAACTTCTCGTTATCACTTAAAAACTATCAAATACAATTTCCACGATAATTACAATAATAGTTCAATTCTAACGATGTTTCTTTTCGTTATTTCTGCTCTCGTTGCTGCCTCGCAACTTTCTTCTTCGCTCGCGAAATTGATAATCGAGCGATTCGTGCGTGGAAATGAAACAGTCCGTAAAAAAAAGTGTACACAGAGTTTTGAACGCATTTGCGGGGGAAACAAGATACACTTTTTCTTCGTTCGTTCTTGCGGATTCGTGTGTTTTTCGTTTGTTCCGTTCGCTTTTCTTTTGTTTTTGACTCAGCGATAATTTCTTGATTAGTCGAGGTTAATAATTCGCCGGTAGAGAACGGGGGCGTGTTATGCAATAGCGTGTGTTGCGTGATAACACGACAGAGAAGAAGTTGAGAAGTTCCTTGACGAAGGAGCACGCGAAGCCTCGACAATTAGGCGAACGCGCGTACACGTCATCGAATTTTCGCGGATTTATACCGATCGATCGCCTTTCTTGATAGGCCTTAAGACGAATCGTCCCCTCTCTTCCTCTCTCTCTTCTCCCTGGTTTCCGTAATTAGGGCTCTCGAGCGTGTTGCGATGCTTCTGTAATCTCGTTGATCGGAATAATTCTGCTGCGACGAGGGGGGAATGTTCGAAAAGTTTGACGCGTATATTTGAGAGTGAATATAGGAATGAAGTTTAATGTAACGAATGATAAATTGAGATTGGTATTTAAATGAAAATGAAATTAATTTTTTGAGAATAATTTGTTGGTCGGAATGACGTGTAATTTTTATTGAAATCAGAGGAGTAGAAATTTTTTTGTATGCGATTGTATGAGAAAAATTGAATTTTGTATATTTAATTTCTGTGAATTGAAATTGAAGTTTTTGGTTTTTTGGAAAAATTGATTTCTGCACATTTAATTTCTCTGAATTGAAAACAAACCTCCAGTTCTTCAGAAAAATTCAATTTTGCACAT